AAATATATCCCTTGCCGGGACATATCACTTTATTAACAGTATGTACATTCAGAGTATTGTTCTCATCTTTGTTGTTTTTATCACAACGTTTCTGCTGGTGTACTTTCCGGCCTTCATCAGTTATATATCCATCCAGGTAATCTACAGGGAATTCCGAACTGAAGCCTTTATTTAATCCACGGGGGTAGACTGTTCTCAGCACAATAGCTGAGTGAATTAAAGCACCTGGTTAGTGAATTTGGTGACATAGTAATTTTCAGTTCAGTCCCAGTGGGTATTGAATTCAGTGGAAACAAGTCGAGCAATAAATGAGTATTACTAAAAAAATAAGTACTTGACGAGATATCTCGAGACTTGGACAGTGGAACGAGAACAGTCTAACCCCGTAAATTAGATAAAGTGTTCAGTTAAAAATTCCCTGTAGGTTGGGTCGGCATACACCTGATGAAGGCCGAATTGTTAAAACTATAGCAAAGCTGAGAACAATAGTCAGCATGTACGTAAATAGTGTAATTAATATGCAAATATTTTTTTTATTAAAGTTAACTCCTGTGGAGGGCTCTTGATTTAGCCTTCACCACAATAGGTAGGAAGGAGTAGATACGATAGGCAATAATAAACTACAAAAGAACTCAAAATTGATCGAATTAATATTTAAACTTGCCTTTTAAAAGTTCAACGATAATTCGTCTGCCGCTACTTAATTTAAAGACAATTTGATGTACGTAGGTCCTTACTTTCCGTACAAATAATTATTTTTGTCTTTCGCTGGATTTCGCGATTAATTTTGATTATTCCCAAATTTATTCCCAAGTTATAAAAATTGTTATCGTAAATATTTTAAAATTCATCGCAAAAAAAAAATCAGGTAAAAAAATTCGCAGAAAACAATCGAAGTAATGAAAAATTGAGAATCCAAAATTTCAGGATTGTAGTTCCGGATACGGTTTGGAATGTTTTTAATTTTGCTCATGGAGTCGACCTGATTCCAAAATTGTATGATATATTGGACTATTGCCTCTAGGACTAAAATTGGAAAAGTGTGACACACTGAAACACTGTTATTTATTTTCTAGATGATTTCAAATTGTCAATTCTCTTTTTTTTTTCCACGGCTAACAGATTGTGATAAAAACACACAAAAAAATCCGAATGCTAATCAGAAAATATCATTGATTAGTAACGGACTTTACCTAAAGAATTGACCTAAAGAATTTCTACATGAGAAATGATAGGAGAATGCAAATCACAAATAGCACATATGGACACAAATAAACGTAATAATAACAATCAACAATAACTAATATAGTAACCAATAGTAAGTAGGAAGTAAAATCAATAGTAAATAGTAAGTAAAATCAATAGTAAATAGTAATTAAAATCAATAGTAAACAGTAAGTAAAGAAATATTTAACAAACAACGCTATAAAATAGGCACAAATAACCGCATTCAGGTCCACGATTACAGACTCTAGAATAATTTGAAAGATTATCGTTTCTGCTCACCCAATAACCGTTAGGGTAATAGAATAGACGTACAAATAATACGCCAGTGATCAGCATATATAAACAGTCGATCTAAAACACAACACACATGTCCTGAAGATTGAGTTCAAGCATGAAACGGACTGTCATCGCACGTTGTTGACCTCAGTGTCCACTTTTATATTTACATAAGTTTTATTCCAGATGTTGAGGAATTTAACCATAAACACTCAGTTCAGTTATGTGCGGTGCATATTACACGCTTGGGCAATCATGTATCTTTCGATACATAACTGACGAGGTAGATTTTTTCCCGTAGTAGGTTGCCATTTATTTATGCAGTAGACCAGTTGCCATCAAAGGCTATAGAACCCAGTGTGTCCTGCTACTTACTCATAGCTAGAGGAAGAAGAGGATTCACACCTTTCCCAACGGTATTAACACGTAATTGAATGTAATGGATTCGACTAGAATTCGTTTCCTCAATCCGATACGCTATCAATTACTCCACCGTGCCTCCTTTAAGCTAACGACTGACCATGCCCCTACTCCACCGTGCAACCTCTAAGCTAACGATTGTCTGTGCCTCTACTTCACCGTGCCTCCTCTAAACTAAATCCTAACCGTGCCTCCACTCCACTGTGCCTCCTCTAAACTAACGACCGGGCCTCTACTCCACCGTGCTTCCTCTAAGCTAACGACTGACCGGGCCTCTACTCCACCGTGCCTCCTCTAAGCTAACGATTGTCCGTGCCTCTACTCCACCGTGCCTCCTCTAAGCTAGCGACTGGCGGTGCCTCTACTCCACCAAACCTTAAAGGTATATTTTTATCATAAATAAAAAATATAAAGAATGTCGCTTTGATTAGTAGAAATATATTTATTAAGGCAAAACTATGTTTGTTTCTTACAAATTGTAAGGGTAATATTAGCCGTTTCCTTATAAGGAAATATTCGGCAGCCAGTACTGGTGTCGGTTGAAATTTATAAAATCTTTCTCTCAAATCATTTTTTTAAGTAAACAGGTTTCGCAAACTCAGTATATGTTATCGCTCTTGCCATATCGGTTGGGGTTTTCGTCCTAGCCTTTTATTTGAAGTTGTGTGGAATGTCGGCATCTTTATTATGCCGTTATTTTCTCTTCGAGTTATATATGATATAGCTGCTGCTAATGTTGAAAGTTCCTAATTGATCTGTTTTCTCTTATCTTGTACAGTTCTTTGTCATTCTTTATCACCAGTTCAGAAAGTTCAAAGAAGTATGGTCATCGCTATGAACCTCAGGCTTCACTCGCTAAAAGCCCTTTTTTTTCACCAATTGATCTTAGAAAGTGTTTGTATCCAATTGATACTTTAGATATTTCTGAACGAATTTTCTGCCATACTGGACATCCATATTAAAAAAAAGTTTCGATCAGACGAGACTATTTGAGAACATGACTTTTCATGTCAATGCTTTGATCTTTTAGGTATTTGGTGTGTTGGCAGAAACTTCATTTTAACGCAGCCCATTTTTTTATTTAAGTTCATTTTCTCCTAAACTATCTGATCCATTCACCGAGGTATTTGATGCGTTTAATATTTACTATTTCCACATCCTAAAATTTTAATGAGGGTTTCAGCGAAAGTGACTTCGCTGCTTTCATATCATAGTTTCTGTTTTGGAAAGGTTTGAGTCTACTTCTGTTATAGGACCTTACCCATAATAACATAATGGACTATTCCATACGTAATAAATACTGCGCCTTCAAGAGGCCGAAGTCGGGCGACCGGCTGACCGGCTGATCGGTTGAACTCTCTGCCTTCGAGCGGAGAGGAACCCGAACGAGGCTACGCCGAAGGGCGGAGTCTCGTTCGGGGAGGTAAACCGACCCTGAACCCGTTTATACGGGTTCAAAGGGCATATTTTTGGCCGAGCCCACGGGCTCGGAGATCCCACGTTAAACCGGCCTTGTGCCACATGATGCCGTCTGGGGGTGGGTTGACTAAATACCGTTCAGTCTGAAGTCTGGAGTGAGGTCCGTCAGGAGTCTGTCAGTCAGTCAGAGCGAGCGAGTCAGTCAGTCAGTCAGTCGAGTCAGAGGCAGTCCGAAACAGTCGCGTTCAGACAATTACTACTAAACCTGATTGTTCGTACTAACACTTTCTACTTCTCTGTATATATTCCTGTTTGTAATATATCTGTGTTATTCCATATCCGTGTTCGAGTTCTTCTTTATTGGTTCTACCTTGGACTATCACCGTGGTACAAGGAACCGGACCATAACAACTTCTTGGAACACTTTGTAGAGGTTGTTGCTTTTCTGTTCAATTTTATATCCTAACTATGAATACCTATCTAATTAGTATAGCCTTCTTCATCATCAGTACATTTGGCTTCGGATGGAAAAGTAGGATTTTTTCTTCTATTGGTAGATTCATTTAGGATGTGGGCACATGGCACAGTGGATAAAGGCGTTAGTTTGATCCAGTGGCAGGACCCAAAGTGCGTGAGTTCAATACCCGGTTAAGGCAGTGGAGAACTTTCAGATGGGAATTAACAGGAGATAACTGATAAGTGACATCCATTAAACATGGCGCGTGGAACTAGAACAGTCTACCCCAACGAGCGAAATAAAGGGTTCAGTTCGACATTCCAACCACCTGAAGAAGGCCGGAGCGTACAACGTCTGAAACGTTGTAATAAATATGGCGACAAAGATAAGGTCAATAGTCCTAATAATGTAAATAGTGTAATAATTCCACATCCTGAATTTTTATAATGGATCCAGGGTAGGTGCCACCACTATTTTCATTCGAGTTCCAGACCATAGTTTCTGTTTCAGAAAGGTTCATCTTGAGTCCCATTTCTTGAAACACTTGGTAGAAGATGTTGATTTTCTGTTCAAGATCATTCGTATCCCAACAATGAATACTTATGTCATTAGCATACCCCCCACCTCATAAAAAAAAAAATTGGCACCATGCATTCATATGAAAGTCTAGAACTGATGAGGCTATGTAAGAAAATGACTCAAGTTTTCAGGTTAATGTTTTTGTTTTGTAGCAATTTGTGGTGTTGAGCAAAACTATCTCTAAATTGAATTTCCTTATCTCTTATACCGAATTTATTATAACTAATCCATATATTGATGTACTTAAAGTATTTTGCATTTACTAATTCCACATCCTGAATTTTTATGATAGATTCGGAGTATATGCCATCACTGCTTTCATGCCAATTACAGATCATAGTTTCTGTTTTGGAAAGGTTTATCTTGAATCCCATTTCTTGAAACACTCTGGTAGAGGATGTTGATTTTCTGTTCAAGATCATTTTTATCCCAACTATGAATGCCTGTCATCATCATATCCAACCTCATAATTAGTTCATTGGCTTTGGAAGGGAAAGCAAGATTATTGTTTTCTATTGGTAGATTCATTTATCCGGCATTCAATGGGGAAAAAGATATAAGGTTTCTAACTCTTGCATAGAATAATGGTAACCATGAAATGATAGTACCTTTATTTAGTGTTTACGACCATATGACGTTGAAACACTGGTTCTTGTACGACCACTGAAGTTAAGCAATGTCGAGCCTGGTCAGTACCTAGATGAGTGACCGCTTGGGAATACCATGTATTGGATGTGCGGGTGGTGTAATGGATAATTGAAAATCTGAGAACCAAATTCCAAATTCTGCTGGGTTTGTGATATTCACTTATGCGCAAATACGCTTGAGAAAGTTATGAATCCTCATCTTCTCCTCCTAGCTATGGGTTAATTAGTAATTATTATCTACAAAAAATCCAGCCTATCTAAAAAAAAAATATTTTCGAGTTTTCTGGCTTGAAAAGAAGTTTAAAAAAATATTGCCTAATATAGAATTTTTTTTTTTTAAATTTCATTTTATTTTATTTTTTAATCATTTACAGTGAATCAAGGCCACTAAGACCCAACCAAGGCAATAATGTTAGTAAGACGCAATGGTTTACTAGGAGTGAAAGAGAATGAGATGCCTTCAGTGAGTAGGAAGGAAAATAAAAGACAGAAGATGGCGATTGGTATTGCATTTAAATCTTTGAAGATTGTAGGTGGCAGGAAAGTAAAAAAAATCGGAAAAAATATTGTAAAAGAAATTACGGTTATATCTAGCCAGTTCGACAGTAAAACAATGAGACCTAATTGCCAATCTAGTAATACGTTTAAATTCATCCAATTGTCGCACCATCAGAATAATGGTCATTAAAATACCTATAGAAAAGACAGAGGGAATCTACGCCACGGCGGTTGGGAAAGTGACTGAATTCAACATGCCAGGTCAGGACCGATAACATTACAAACCCTTCTTCGGATTTTATCAAGGATATTTAGATATATAGCGAGAGCACCAGACCAGATATGGCAGAAATGTTCAATACACGGGTGAATGGTGGATTTATAAATGTGCAAGATGGAATCTGATGAGAAGAATTGTCTGGCACGACACAGAGAATCAACTTTCCTAGCTGCTGACTTAGCAATTGATACTCTTTCTATTTCATGTCGGCCATTTCTTTAGACACCACGAACATTTGTTCATTTTAATACAAATCATAATTTTCCTAAATCAACGCTAGATACCAGTTGGTTAAGCCTTGCAGAAATTGAAGTGAAACTAACGTTAAACTTTTAATTTTTACGCAGTAATCTCCCCTTCTTTATTTTTCTCTCTTGGATTATTTATGGCATCGGATTTTTTTTTATCCTGAATGCATAATTTTAAAAAAAATATCTATAGATAAATAAAGAGTATTATTAATTTTTTTTCATTTGTAATATAAAATATAATATGATCTGATTTCTGTGTGTGTTCGCTATTTTTTTTTTAATCTTTTCACCACAAGCAAGGCAATAATGACGCAAATGGTTACTGAGTGATAGATAGTATAGGGAAAACACTATTAAGGAAAAAGAACAATAAAAGAACAAGAATTAAGAAGACAGAAGATAACGATTAGCATTGCTTTTGAATTTTTGAAGATCAAAGTTGGCTAGAAAGCAAAAAACCGGAAGAGAGGATCATAAGCAAGAAGTGCAAGAAAAGGCACTGGTAGCGTACAACTTACGATTACATCTAGCTATTTCAACTGTAAATTGATGAGACCTTGCAGCCAATCTAGTACTTCGCTTAAATTCATAAAGTCTAGGTACCATAGAGGAAATTTTATCAGAACAATTACCATGAAAGTATTTATAGAAAAGACGCAAGGAAGCTATGTTAGGATGGTGAGAAAAAGACTGAAGCAGAAATACCAAGTCTGAATCAATAACACTGCAGATTCTTCTTTTAATTTTATCAAGACTCTCTAAATATATAGCAGGAGCATCAAACTATATTCAAAGCAAGGACGATAAGATAGATTCTGGCGAGAAAAATTGTCTAGATTGCAACTAAGTAAAAATGGTACATTATAGCAAGATATTTGTTAGGACAATACCTTTTCAATGCACTTAGAAAAAAATAAAGCATTTTCTACTAAAATTTAATAATTAATAATATTTAATGATAAATTAACGTTTATTTATTTAATAACACTAGATAAATAAGGATTTGTACAAGTTTGAGTCAAGCTAGCGTAAAATCTTTAATGTTGATGGGTTTGGTTAATTACACAGCAGTCTCCCCTGATTTATTTACTTTCAAATAATTATTAAAAAAAATAAGGTATGAGATTTTAATTAATAGAAATTAATTAAATCTAAAATATATTGAAAGATCACTAATTTCGGAGTCTTTTGTCATAAATTTACGTCCAGGATCGTACAATATATCTTCTTGGCACAATTTAATAGTAATTAATTATTGATTAATATTAATTAATTAATGTTGCATAATGATTAACTAAATAATACTTTAGGTCTATGTTTGAACTCGACTCAATAATAATAATCAGAATTTTGTATCTTCGTTACAAAAATGGAAAAAGAAGATCCGTATGTGAGAATATTACCGAATATTGACGAAACGAAATGAAAAACTTAACCGAAACGAAATCAAAAAAATATTAACCGAAACGAAACGAAATGAAAAGATTAAACATCGCTGTAAAAAAAAAAAAAAAGAAAAAATACTGGGTGTGACGATATATAAGACGCACTTTATTTGCCCTAATAATGGCTGAAAAATCGCCCTAAGTCTTATATTTGAAAACGAGGCCGCCCATAGGCTAATTTTACCCATAATTCTCATTACTGTAGGATATGTTTTTACCTATATTTTCACTTCTACTTAACCCGATGCGATAATAATATTATTTACTCAAACAACATTGTTGTTGATATTATTATTTTATTCCTTTGATTTCTGGGAGTGTACACATTTCTTTCCGGGTCTCACCCAGAGAGCTTAAGGTCAGAAATTGCATCATGACATTTTCCACTGACCAATTAAAAAAACACACACACATATTTTACATCAGTAAAGCCATTCGTAACGTGTGGGCTGTACTCGTGAGAACATTTTTTTGTATTTCTTTAAGGCATGGGCTTCCAGGAATCCCTTCAATGAGTCCACTGGATTATTTTCCAATCAATCCTAGGGCTCCAACTACAACAAGAATTGTTGATGTTCCAATGTGCCACATTTTTGAGATTTCGACTTCATTATTATTATTATTATTATTATTATTATTATTATTATTATTATTATTATTATTATTCCTCTTTTTTCTGTTGTATACATATTTCCGTCCAAGTTTCAACCAGAGATCTAAGGTCAGAAATGGTTTCATGACATTTTCCACTGATCATTTTTATTAAGAAAAAATGATCATACACATTTTACATAGGTAAAGATCTTCATGTCTGAGCTGTACTTGTGAGTACAATATTTTGTATTTCTTTAAGACATGGGTCTCCAGAAATCCCTTCAATGAGTCTATCGGAACTTTTTCCAATCAATCCGAATTATTGGTGTTCTCGTGTACCACGTTTTAAATTTCCATTTCAAGATCCTTGTATTTTGATAGTTTTGTGAAGATCTTCAAAGATACATTACAATCTACAGGGGCTACCATGTCAATCACAAAGGACATTCTGCGTCGTGGTCTTTGATTACGATGAAAGGGCAATTAGCTTTGATTGTTCTGTATGTCTGCATTGTAAATTCCCATAAAATTGTTACGGGTCCCATTTTTGTGACCAGGTCTGGATGATGTTTATACCATTTTTCTTTACAATTTCCTTCCCGTAAAAGTTACCTATTTTCCAGGACAAATATTGACTCATTCTGTCATGTCGAGTTTCATGACCAGTGGGTGCTAACACCCTGCAACCTGATACATTTATTATTATTATTATTATTATTATTATTATTATTATTATTATTATTATTATTATATATAATGCAATGCTCTTCGGTAAATCGAATCGAGTTCTCTCAGTCACTGTGTGTTTATCTAAAAATAAATACGCTTAAATTCACCTTCATTCCTGCCGTGCGCCAACAGCTTTGTGGTAGGATCAATTCAGTCGGGTTTCGATCCTAGCTAGAAGCAACCGGACGTCTAGCCACACTGATGAGCTCTGATACAGCGAAACAGTCTGTCTGTGGATGATATATATATATATATATATATATATATATATATATATATATGAATAAAAAATCAAGAAGAAAAATATTATTAGCCGACGCGTTTCGTCCTCTTTTTTATTTTTGTTTCAATTTTGATCAGATTGTTATGCTATGGAATGGACGTATGGGATGAACATCTTCAAAAGCATAAGGAAATGGATTTCACCGTAGGCCTGATTATAATTTAAATAATATTCATTTATTAAAAAAATATTTTTTGATATTACTGGGTTACATTTACGACACCAGACTTTGAATAATGACATTTTGTCTCCTCCACATGCTTCGACTACTTGATGAATATTCATGAACGCTCGCAAATTTAAAAGCCTTGATAAACCAATGATACCCTTGCTCTTGTATATAAACACGTGCAACAAAATAAATAAATATTTCCCTTGATAACGTCCCTTTAGGGGACAAAACGCGTCGACTGAGAATAGTTTTTTTCTCTTGTCTTTTTATTCATTTTATTCATTCAGAGATACACTCTATCTGAAAATAATTTACATATATATATATATATATATATATATATATATATATATATATATATATATAATTTATTTATTTAAAAATATGATTCCAATGCTACATAAGAGTTCTCATGTTTCAAAACAAGAGCCGAAAACTTCAATATAATTATTTGAATTAAATTGAATTAAAGTACCAAGCTCTGTTCCATCTTCAAGCGATTTTTTTTTTTTTTGAATAACTAATTCCTGAAATTTACGCGTTTTGTAAGCATATTCATTATTGAAATTAAAATTACTATGGTAACGGCTAGAGCAATTGTTTAAAGAAAAGGGGCGTAAGGTGTTAATAATTTGTATCAATATCTCAGTTGCATTCAAAGAGGTCAAGTCAGGGTAAGGTTGGGGTGTCTAAATTCAATGCGGAAGATGACATCGTCTAGTCTGGTTAAGTGTCTATGAAGATTTATTTATTATTTTATTTTATTTTTTATTTTTTTTCTGAAAGGGTTTTGTGTATAAAAAAAACTGTCATAAGTCATAACTTATGAGAGT